TTAAACGCTAACTTACAGAATCTTAAGGTTTGAGAAGGTCATCTCGGTTGGCATTAGAACAGCCTCATAGCCTAGGCCTTTGCTCATATAGCTCATTTTGCCATCTTTATTACTAGCATACAATACTGCTATTTTTACATTGGTCTCATTTGCCTGTCAGTTGTTCATTTCCTTCTGTCAGTTTTACTCTCTACCATTTTGTACATAGGATTAGAAATTCTGTATTCACAGCTATATTCAGGGAAAAGAAAAGTGTGCCCCATAAACACTACCATTTTATGTGGCAGTTAAATAAATAAATGCATGTCCAGGAAAAAAGTAAGCAGTGACCATTAGGTAAAGATGTCAAACATGGTGCCATCTGTCTGTCCTGACTTCTTGAGAGCACAGGAAGTGCTCTGTATGGCACAGCTTCTGTCTTCCCTTCTGCATCATCCTTCCATGGCTTCCCACTTCACAGGTGTTTACCACAGTTGACAAAAATTAGTGAATAATGAATAGATAATTCCTAGTAAGATAAAATGTCAAAGATGTAAAACTGTAACTAAGGATCCCATGATTTTTGCATAGAGTCACAGAGTTGTCAGAAGTCCTACCAGATAATTTTAAAATGGAATGAATTTCTCTCTGTCTTTTTTTTATGTTGCCTTTGGAAGACTTTTAAAAATGAACAAAAGTCGTGCATGAAATAGCACTCTTTGTAAACAGAACTGCTGAGAGAGAGAGGATGAGGAAGAGGAGGAGAAGAGGAGGAAGAGAAGCAGCCTTGAAGGCTCCTGAGGGCACAATGAGGGTTTAAATCCCGTTAACAGATTCCATCATTTACCAAAGACTTCCAAAGTCAGGTTCATTTGGAAAACAACCCTCTCAGAAGGCTTCTCCTTCATCCACCCAAAATCCAGCATTTCTCAGCCAAAGTTTCAAAACCAGCCAGGAGTGCCACCTCACCCCAGCACCGCCGCATCCCTCCTGGCCTCGGCTGTGGAGTCCAGGCAACCCTTTGCTTGGGATATTTTTTGTCTCAGCATACAAGAGAGAGAAAAGGTGGCATCCCAAGAAAAACAGTGAGGGCTCTGGGCCCTGCTGAGCCTTCGGGGTAAAGCCCTAACATAGCTCAGTCCACAGCAGACACTTGATAGCTCCTGTCTTCTCGTGTTATTCCAGCCAATGAATCTACTGTGGGGCTGCAGTGTCCTTATTTCTCCTAGACTTAAAAAAAAATCCTTTGTATCATTTGTGTTTCTTACCGATCAATGAATGGCTTGACTACTGACTGAGGAGACAGGAAATGCCCAACTCACAAGTGCGTTATGTTCCAGCCATCCTCCTGTCTCAGTCACCTAAATAGCTGGGAATAAAGGCATGCAGCACCATGCCCAGCTGAAAAAATATTGTAAGTGGTCGGTTTCCAGGCCAGGCCCAAAAGCCTTCCACTCGGATGTCGAAGGGCTAAGCCTTTACTAAAAAAGGGAACAGAAAACATTTTGAAGATGTATTATTAAGCAAAACAAACTATGAAAGACTTAGTCTCCTTTAATCCTGAAGCCTGATCAATAAAGCAACCAATGAAAGAGGGCAAAGGGTAAGATCAAGACGTTTTAGGAGGGATTTCTGCATATGAGAATTTGGGGAGCCTGATGCAGCAATTTGACGCTTTGTCCAGTTTTACCTCTAACTTTTTTTTTTCCTTTTTCTTCCTACAAGTATGAAACAAACAGGGTACACAGAAGGCAATGAAGGATGGGGGGGGGAGGAATATGAAAAATAAAAATGTTTGGAAGAGATGTCCTTCCTTGTGGGTATGCAGTTAAATCGTGGCCCTAGGACAACTGGCTAATCCGAAGTGTGCTGGTGAGTAAAGCATGAAGAAATCGAGCAACGGTGGGTCACCCAGGGTTACAGGCCTAACCAGGTGGAAGAAACAAGTCCACTATTAGGTAAAACAGTACCCCTTATGGCCATAAGGTGGTGCCATAAGCCCAGCCAGTCTGCCCCAATAGGCTGTGGCATAGAGTGGGTGGAGCTCCCCAGTGTAAGCCATGTTCCTCTCTCTGGCTCTGGAACCTTTAAGGAAGCCTGGAGGAGAGACATGTGTCAACTTAAAATCACTGCCTCCGCAGGCCAGAATGATCCCATCTGCTAGGACCCCAGCCGGTCACCCCACAGCAAGGATACCTTTTGTCCTGCTGGACACTACAACTCACCTGGAAAGATTAACTGGCTTCATCTTGTTCCAAAATGTCAGCACCCATCCCAGAGCTTCCTGAGTCCTAAAGGGAATCCAATCAAAGAGCATCCTTCTTCATATTTTTAGATACCTATCAACTCGGTGCTTCCATCTAGTTCTTCCATGGTGAACACAGATGTGGCACCATGGCCCAGCCTCACCACATGGCTAGCCATCTAGCTACCCCAGTCTCCCTCTTTAGCACCAAACGGGACAACCTCTTCCTGACACAAAACTCGGTATCCCCTATTCTTGTGTTTTGCCTCCCTGGAAACAGCCTTTTCCTTGCCTCCACTTGGCAACACCCTCCTCTGGCTTTCAACCCAAACACTTCCCTCTTCAAAACCTTCGCTCTTGGACTTAACTGAGGGTAACTAGAAAAAGCAGGGGTCTCAGGCCACAAGTCCGGATGTCACAGCCAGACCCTATCTGTCTCAGAAGTTATATGTCTCAGACTGAGGTGGGCCTGGTCCTCAGACCCTGAAACCCCAGGGCAGCACTGGCTGGCCCATCCTAGCTCCTTTTGTTTCCATTTAGGGTGGACGTTAGAGTTACAGCGACATCAAACTTTCAGCCTTGGTTCTTGGTACAGTGCCTGTGCTCAGTTCATGCTAGCTTTCTAAGTGCCATCTAGTGTGTCCAGCTCATTCCATTAATCTGCCAAAACCAGCCTGAGGAACTGAGCTAAAGGAATCTGCAGAGAAAAGGAGAATCCTGCCAGGCATGGTGGTCCAGGCCTTTAATCCCAGCACTTGGGAAGCAGAGGCAGGCTGATCTCTGTGAGTTCAAGGCCAACCTGGTGTACAAAGCGAGTCTAGGACATCCAGAGAAACCCTGTCTTGAATAAAGAGAGAGAAGAAACGGGAATCACAGCAAAGACGCCAGTGTGTGAGCCACGGAGCATTGTCCAGCAAATCTCTGGTGAGCCTGCAGCCCTGCTGAGATGGACTGGAAGAGCATCTTTGCTTGCTTCAGCCTTGGCCATGTGGTCCCGAGATGAAAGTTCAAGGAGTGCTGTGTGTGTTCCAAGGACCTTGCATCTAGCTACTGTGCAGTGTTGCCAAAGCAGAAGTTGGCTTAGAAATTCCTTTGATGGTTGGAGGAAAAGCCTCAAGATGATTTCTTTTCTTTTTTTTTTTTTTTTTTTTTTTTTAACCATACAGGGCCTCTGAGGGCAGGCCCAGGGCCTCACTAAAATGGAACAAAGTGGAGGATTTCCCTCCACCGCCTTGAGTCTCCCGATTCTGTTTCTCTAGTAGCACCTTTGTCCATGAAAGAGGCCACAAGAGCGGTCTACCTAGCTCTAACTTTAAGTAAGGCTGAGGGCCACTTCACTCTCCCAGGAAATTCTAGGCCTTAAAGGGCGAGGACAGACCAAAATGCTTTAGTTTAGTTTAGTTTAGTTTAGTTTAGTTTAGTTTAGTTTAGTTTAGTTTAGTTTAGTTTAGTTTAGTTTAGTTTAGTTTAGTTTTGAAGGATGTACAGAAGGGGCTTTACCGTAGACTAATTTAAAAAGCTAAAAGGACTATTCAAACAAGCAGAGATAGCTCATCTTTATACTCAATATCCACCACCTTTCTCAAAAGATAAATAAAGAAGTCACTGCTATTAGAATCTTGGGCACCAGAGGCCAGTTTCTTTCCACCATCGAAGACTAAGACATTCCTGGGGCCCCGAGCATTGGATCCATACTGTGGACAGGGAAGGTCCAAGAAGCCCTGCCCCTGGAAAGCCCATTCCGAGGGCACCTTCCCACCTCCTCCCCTCCTCCCTCCAGTCTGAGGCAGCGGTCACCCAGGGAAGCTGAGCAGCCTCGGAAAGACAACCTGCGCGCCCATCTCGGTACCCCTCCCCCCAAGCGTGTCGCACGTACGCGCAGAAGAGGCCGAGAGCAGAGCGTGCCTCGCCGGAGAGGCCCAGGGCTGCAGCGCCGCTGGCAGTGGGTGATGAAACCTCCCAGGCGCATTACTGCAGAGTGCGCGGGCGAGCGGGGGAGTCGAGCAAGCTCGGGGGTTGAGGGCTGGTACCCAGGCTCACCTGTTCTCCAAGACCAGGGTGGGGAGCACGGGGGAGGGGCAAGGAGTGCCACTGCCGGATGAGGGCCAGGTGGCGCTAGCTGGCCGCGCTCGCCTCTCCACCCTCCCCCAGCCGAGCTAGCCCCCCGAACTATGCCGTCGGGTTGACGAGGCCAAGAGCAGCAGTTCCTGTCCCGGCCCCAGCACGAAGGAGACGTGAGCGTGCACACGTACACAAACAGCAGGGGAAGAGGCGCTCCCAGCGGCGCCCAACTTTCTCCCTGCTCCCTCCAGCAGCGGGAAGAGCTGCTGAAGGCAACCTGATTCCCAGGGTGTTTAAGGAAGGGGCTCCAGGAGAGGGAGAAGATCTGGGGGGGGGGGGGGGGGGGGGGGGGGGTGGGGGGGGGGGGGGGGGGTCTGGGGGTTTTCTGTTTTGTTTTGCTTTTATTTTTACAGCAGAGGGCTGTGGAGTAAGGAAACCCCGTAACTGGGCCAAGTTGGGAGGGGGGGGAGGGTCACTGAAGACTGTGTTTGGAGACGCCTAAAGTTGCCTGTCAAGCTCTGCTCTCTGCAGCACGCGATGCTCCGCGGCCACCTGACCCAAGACTGCCTGGGCCTCCTAGCCACCCGCCAGGAAATGATGCAAGTCTGGATTGTCACCTGGATCCCTGAAGCCCAGACAAGAATCCGTCTGGAAGGGGGGAGGGGAGAGACGAGCCGCCCAGGTGCTGCCGGACCCTCTAAACCCGAGCAGAAAGAAAGTGGGCTGTGGGCAGTTGCTCTGGCCAAGCGCTTCGGGGCTTAGCCGCCTGTCTCCAAGCGCCTGGTTTTTATTTTTATTTTATGCCAAGCGTCACGAAGCTTAGGAATTCCCATCAGAGCTCAATTTGCTCGCACCATCTCTGTGCCCAGGTATCAGTTCCGATCTATTCAGGCCCCGGGGCTGAGAATGTCCCTGTATTCCAAAGAGGAAACTTTCCCGGCCGGATGCGAACCCCGGGGACGCTGCTCCTGTGAAGACCGACCCCTCCCGTCCCACCCCTTTTTTTTTTTTTTTTAAGTTTTTAGTTGCAACTGGGGGTGGCGTCTGCTTCGGTATCTTTTCCCTCCTCCGTCGGTTCGGCCATGGCCCCGTTGCGCCCGCACACGCGCACGCAGACGCGGGGCCGCCGCCGGGTCTGCAAGTTTGTGGGGCGCCCACGCCGGCGCTCGGCTTCCTCCAGGAGTAGTTGGCGCAAGCCCCGCCCCCGGGCCGTGTTGTCAAACGGGCCGGGGTCTCCGATTGGTCCAGCCTCCGGGACAACACCTGCTCGACTCCTTCATTCAAGTGACACCGGAGCTTCCAGGGATATTTGAGGCACCGTCTCTGCCATCGCCGGGCACTCGCCGCGCTGCTAACGGCCTGGTCACATGCTCTCCGGAGAGCTACGGGAGGGCGCTGGGGTAACCTCTGCGCGAGCCCCGGCGAGGCGGAGGGAAGGGGCCGGCGAGGAGAGCGAGCGGGAGGAGGGGGGGAGCGGCGGAGGAAGAGGAGGAGGAGGAGGGGCGCACAAAGAATCCGGGTCTCCCGGCGGGAGGGTGATCCCCAGGACCATGTGTGCCGAGCGGCTGGGCCAGTTCGTGACCCTGGCTTTGGTGTTGGCCACCTTGGACCCGGCGCGGGGGACCGACGCCACGAACCCTCCGGAAGGTCCCCAAGACAGGGGCTCCCAGCAGAAAGGCCGCCTGTCCCTGCAGAACACAGGTAAACGCGTGCGCGCGTTCCTCCCGCTGCCGGGGGAGGGGACGGGGTGGGGGGACACGCCGCGCGTCCGCAGCGCCCCGGATGCCTTCAAGCCCCGGCCCGGCGACCCGAGCTCACCCCGAGCCGCGCCAACTCTCGGTGGCTCGGGACGCGCCGAGGGAAGAAGGAGCGGAGAGGCGAGGCCCGGCCCGGGCTCCCGGAGCCCCGCAATCCGCACGTGCTAGCAGGGTGATGAAATGGCCGGGGCACGACTTGTTGCTCTCCTTCCCCCCCACCCCGGGGGGCTGAGGGGACACGGGGCAGCGCTGGGCGCTGCCAGCTCCAGCCGGCGTCCCCTCCCGGGGGGGGGAGGGCGATCGAGGCGCCCTTGGTTGGGTCCCGGCTGGCCCGTGCGGGGACTGGGCTCGCCCCTCACCCGGACTTGGCTTCCAGTCCGGCCAGCCTGGCACGGGCCGTCCTCCCCTTCCTCCAAAGATGCCGGACAGCCCAGAACTCCGCTGGCCGCTCAAATGGCATCAAGAACTTTTCCTTTGGGGGAGGGAGGAAGAGGAGGGGGTTCGCAGAGCGGACCTCTGGGCGCTGCCCCCCACCCTCCGCCCCACCCCCCGCCATCCCCCTGCCGCCGGCCGGGTCGGCGAGGGGAGAATTGTTGACACGACCCGAATCGTGCGCTGGCCCTGCCCGCCGGCAGGAGCCTGGCGTGTGGCACACGGGGCTGGCCTCCTTCCCGGCTCCCGGGAGCGAGAGGAACGTGTCCGCCGCCGGCCTCCTCGCTCACGCCCCCACCCCCGCTCGTCCTCCGGGGCCGCGTGGACGCTGCAGCCGTGGCGTGCGTGCGTGCGCTCCTTGCCCGGGCCGGAATGCGCAGAGACGGGGTCGGGGGAGACCCCCGAGGGAGTGGTCGTGGCCACGGGGGGGTGCAGGCAGTTCGTCCCCTCCGGCCCCCAACCCCCGCTGCCAAAGTGCGGCCGAGGGTCCCTCGTCCCCCCTCGGGTTTAGGTACCCGCCCCAAACACACGCCCCTCGGCCTCTCTCGCCCCTCGGTCTCTCTCGCTGGATTTCCTCCGATACGGATTTTTCGACTCGGGCCCCGCCCTTCTCCCAAAATACGCTTTCCTCGTGTGATTTTTGCGGTTGGTTTAAATCGCGGAACTGAGTGGGGCGAGGAAGGCAGGAGGCTGCACTACCACAGCCTGACAGAGCCCAGTCTGTCTTTTCGGGCTGACGAATTAGGACATCTTGGAAGAGGGAGCAGGCTCGGGGCCTCAGGGATTCGAGGGGATTAAGTGATAGCTCACACCGGATCCCTAATTAAAAGGAACCTCCAAAGCGAACGGTGGCCGTGGCCAGGCCCGCCCCCACCTGCTTCCCTTCTGAGGCTGCGTTCCCAGGCGCACGAAGCCTCCTTGGCCTGGCATTTTTATTTTTTTTTTTAGGCGGGTGGTTTAGAGGCATGGCTTTAATAGGAATCTTGTTTTGATTTTTAGGTGTTGAATCATAAAGCTGAATTGAAGTTGTTTTCTGGACGCTTTCGTCTGGGGTCAGGAAGGAAATGTCCGGATCTTAACGGCAGCCTCAAGTAGCGAAGGCCATTTAGCTCATAAAATGTGGTCTTTTTCAGATTTCATTTTCCCTGTGGGTTTCAAAAGCTGAAGTGTTTTCTGCCCTTATGCTGAATATTACCACAAAAACCTTCATAAAGTGGAAAAGATAAAAGGGGGGAGGGAAGGAAGAAAATATTCAGACCAACTTCTGTGATATTTGTTTATTTTGGCTAATTTTACAAAAATTTACAAATACCAATACTTCCCATACCTAGTAAATAACAACATTTTCTTTCCACTCCTTAGATTCTGAAATTGACACAGCTTTTTCCTCCTTAAAGTTTCCTCTAGCCCTTCCTAACTTTTAGCCTGACTGAAAACTTGGTGTGTCGTCTTCATTTTAGCGGAGATCCAGCACTGCTTGGTCAATGCCGGGGACGTGGGATGTGGCGTCTTTGAGTGTTTTGAGAACAACTCTTGTGAAATCCGGGGCTTACATGGGATTTGCATGACATTTCTGCACAACGCTGGAAAATTCGATGCCCAGGTGAAAAGAACACATAGCAAGCACGAAAAATATTATGGGTTGGTGTAGCATGGCTGCGAGGACTTGTCAACAGGTTTCTGGGACTGCTCTTTGAGGGAGTTTGGTGTCTGCAGGTAGGTGTTACAGCAGGGCACCGTTGTTCTGCTTTCTGGAGTTGCCGATTGGGCCAAATCCTTTTGCATTCTTATGCTGTAACTGCACAGGCCAGGCAGGCTGGACACCAACGCCATAGCCAGTGTTTACCACTAGAACACAGTCCCCAAAACCCATCACCTCAGGAAGAGAGGGCTGAAGTGGCAGGGATAATAGCTAGGGGTAGCAAAAGCTCGTCTAGTGTATAGCTGGCCAGGCAGCCTGCATGATTCACAGCCTGCAAACAGTCTGGAAAAGTATGGAAAACAATATGAAAAGTCTAAACCCCGACTGACTCTCACTTGCCTTACAGTCAGAGTTGAATCTGCCTCAGACATCGCAAGGTAAAGCTGAGAGTTGCTGCCCAGGGCAGAAAACCAATAAGCAGGCTGATGGTCCTGTCACAGAGGGCCCAAGTGTGTGTTTAGATGACTAAGTTTGGAGGAGGCCAAACAGCTGAAGTGTGATTTGTACAAGTGCCGGTCATCATCCGCTGACACCCTGTGGACAGCCTGACAAAGCAAGGCCTGGGAAACCAGAAAGGGATGTGACGGGGCCCGGCAGCCTAAACTGTAGAGGATATGAGGTAGCAGAAGGGGAAGCAGAAACCAGGAGGAAAGAGGGAGAACTTTGAACTCCTTGTGGCTCCTTAAAAAGTGCCCACACACCCCCTCCCCTCAGAATTGACTGGAGCTAGGACACACACAATAGGAAATCCGGAAGAGAGGAGTGTGTCGGGGGGCCTTCCCACCGGATGTCAGAGAAGAATACCAAAAAACAGATTGCCACAGCTCTCACATAGATCCATCTTCCTTGTTTCCTCAACCAATAGGAAGAACATGTTCTCAAGCTAGAGGCATCCCTTTCAAGTCACTTCTCAGCACACAACTACTTAGGAAAGTGCCAAGCCCTGCCCTCCATTCCATTTGGCTCCAGCCAGAAAATCAAAGAAATGGGCGCCACAGGGAGGGCATATGTGCCACGTGGGTTTTCAACCATCAGACACTATCTGTAGACATTTCTAAAAGGGAAACCAAAATAAATATACTGGCTGGCTTTCCATTTTCAACCTAAACTGGTTCATTTTTTTCACTTTTCCAGACCTGCCTCAAAAAAACAAACAAAAAAAACAGAGGTTACTTTTTCAGAGGACTCGTTTCCACAGTAACTGAAGGGAGATTCCTGAATACATACCCAACAATGCCTCCAGGCCGGGTTGATAAGAATAAGCTTGCCCCCACTTCCCGACAGCTGTCTCCTTTCTGGCCTTGGCACAGTCTGCTGGGGTCACCAGGAAAGAGCAGTGGGCCACATGTGTGCCCGGCTGCCTCACCCCAGTGAGGGCAGAGCTTGGAGGATGTTCTTTGATGCTACTGTCTAACTCACATGCTGCCGTGATAGATGCCAGGTGGGCCTTTTAGAGCCTTTTAAATCCTAACCATTTCAAAGCAAAGCGTATTTCTTCTGGAAGCACCGGAAGAGCAGACGAGATCATGAGCTAGAGTCCTGGAACAGAAATGGGAGGCTCCAAGAGCCACTGCCTCCCATGGAGGGAGAAAGAGAAGAGTGCTCGTGTTGATAACGGCAAGGGAGTTAGGGCCCAATCCCCTGAGGTTCCAGAGAATTTGCTACTGGGGAGTCACCAGCCAGCTGCCTCAGATCCAGGGAAGCTACAAGAGCAACTGGGGTGGAGAGAGGCAGATCCATTTGCGGACAGAGCTCACATCCACTCTGCGAGGGGATTCCTGCTAGGGTGTACCTCCAAATAGCCTCTCACCTGGAAATATATCCATCTGAGTGGCACCTTGAGACCCTGAGATCAAATACTCCTGGGCAGACCTAAGACTGACTAGTGACGAAATCTCCTCCCCTCCCCCCCTCCCCCCCCCCCCCCCCCCCCCCCCGTGTCCTCCATCCTCAGGGCAAGTCATTCATCAAGGATGCCCTGAGGTGCAAGGCCCATGCCCTGCGGCACCGATTCGGCTGCATCAGCAGAAAGTGTCCGGCAATTAAGGAAATGGTTTTTCAGCTGCAGAGGGAGTGCTACCTCAGGCACAATCTGTGCTCGGCAGCGCAGGAGAACGTCGGCGTGATTGTGGAGATGATTCACTTCAAGGACCTCCTGCTGCACGAGTGAGTAGCCCCCGGTCCCGGTCCCCAGAAGAACGGGAGGAAGGGGCGCCTGGCCAGGACGGGGTCCTGAGGGCTGGAAGTCTGTTTGAGGATGCTATTTCGGGAGGTGAACTCCCTTTAGGTGGAGGCATTTGTGGTGTGCCCCCGGTAAAGCTAGAAAGCCCCCAGAAATATCATCAGATTTGAAATCCCCACAAACAAAAACATATCTCTAAAAACATTATATCTCCAGTTCACAGATGAGAAAACTGAGCCCTGCTGAGGTGAAGTGCGCACAGTTAGGGAGAAGCAAAGCTAGGCACTGGGGTCCAGGCAGGGTGGCTACAATCTCATCAGCAACTTTTTCCTCTTCCAGAGCCTCCCTTTTCCTTCTCTAGCTCTGCAGAAAACACAAGGCAAACATCAGGAACTTTAGTCAACTAAACATGCATGCTAAACTGGACTTGGAGAGTCACGATTCGGTGATAAAGCAAAAAAAAAAAAATCTCATCCCTTGAAACTCACCCCAGCTGCAGGATCCTGGGTTTTGCAGATAAACCATTGTTTCTAACATGCAATAGGGTCCACGGTCCCCAAAAGACAGAGATACAGAGCAGAAAGGAAGCCACCAGGCCAGTAGACCTGTGTCAGTCACTACCTCTACAGCATGCCCACCTCCCCATGGTGGCTCACTGGGCCAGACCAGCACAACTTTAGGGAATTTCACCCTCAGTTCATTGCACAACCTTCTCCCGGTGATGTCACCAAACATACTCCCTACCTTCACCACACGAATGCCCAGATTCTGGAGGCAGCCACCTCCTGTCTCTGCCCACTCAATTATTTGGCCTTTGGTAGGGTTGTAACACCTTGGCGTTAAATTATTCGTGGTGAAATTCTACAACCTGCTCTTTCCAGAAAGCGAAATTGTTTTGTTTAGCTTATGAAGCATACTAATACTTTACAACATACTTTCACTCTCCCAAATATTTACAAAGGAACAAAAGCACCGACCATAGCAATTGTCTGTTATTTCTCTGGTGTGCCGGGACCTGGGCTGTGGGATATTTATGGGTTACCACGTTTGTCTTTCACCAACTACAAGATTGAAATTATCATCTCTGTTTCGTAGAGAGGGCTAGTGAGGCTCAGAGCTTCAGTTTTCTACTTTGTGAGGCTTGATTCCTACTTTGCAGCCTGCGAGCTGCAGTGTTCTCTCACTAACCACAGGGAGTGCTTTGAGGACCTCCACCCCATATCAATATCCATAAATGAGAGAGTCTCAGATACACTGAGGGAGTATTTGCACATGACTTATTAGCCTCCTCCTCCATTATAACTCTGGGTGAGTTATAATGCTTGGAGACAATGCAGCTGCGGTTTAACAAGGAAGAAAAGTCCGCTTCAGTTCAGACGCAGGCTGTTTCTGAAACAGGTCTGTGGCTGGCTAGCTGGATCCACAGGCACAGAGCTAATTGTGCATAACTCAAACTGCATGCGAGGCCGGCTGTCAGGGTGCCAGCTGCCCTGCTCCTGCCGGGCCTGTCCTTGCCAGACCTGCTAAGGCTTCGTGGGTCTTCATATATGTCCAGGGTTTCTTCCTTTTCTTAATTACTCCCTCATCGTGACCGGAGAATACTGTGAGGATCTTTTCCTTCAATGTGCTCTTGAAAGATGCACAGTCGAGGAACCTCTGAAGGCTGCCTCCGTGGCGTGTTTAAGATGGCTTCTTGTCCTTGAGATTGGGAGGTTGGGAGCCTGTTACACGCCATGATATATTCCTGGGTTGTGTGAAGTGTTAGTATTTTCTGGGGGGAAAAAAAAAGGTGGGGGAGTCTTTGAGGAAACTCAAGATTTTCAGGATTGGAAAACACACCCCACGCTAGAATTTAGGAAGTATTGGAACACTATGGTGTTCTAATGTCTCTTCTGCAGGAACATGGCCTCCAGGCCAGGGACTCTCATTTCAAAGGATCTCCCACACCATTTAGAATAAGCAATAGCAGCCAACACTGGCCTTCTCTGGAGAAGCAGGTGGCCCACCCTGAGCAGAGGCGTGGGTGTCTTAAGAACACTGCCAGGAGGCCACGTGGGTGCAGGACCTCCTTCTCCTGCTAAGCTAGTCCTTCTAGGCAGTGAGTTGTGCCAAACTCCAGCTCCTGAAACCCTCTACTCCCTGTCACAAGGCAGCAATGCAATGCCCCGCCTTCAAACCCAGGCTGAATTGCCGGAACTCTTCCAAATTTTCAATCAGCTTAACAGATTAAAGAGCCCTTTCAGCCCTGATACCGAGAAAGCCATCTCAGAGTGTGTGGAGACAGTCACAAATGAGAGAGTGTGAGCTGGATTTGCCTTTTCCTTCTAAGAGGAGGAAAGTCAGTCACTGTAGAATCCAAACCACTCCATTCCCCTACTAGGCTTATGCCAGGAGCAGGGGCAGCAGCAATGTCCGGCCTACTGAAAGCTGGCCCCGTCGCCACTGCCCGTCCACCCTCCTCTCTCCTTATCATCTGCCTCCCCCTAGCTGTGGCCGGTTCCCTTGGCCTCTGCACACCCTGTCACCAGGTCCTGGCAGCCACCGAGGGGCTGGAGCCTCAAGCACATCCCCTCCTTCAGCCTTGCTGACACTCAGTTGAGTGCTGGGTTTTGTCATCAGACAGGCTCAGCCTACAGCCTGAGAAGGTGCCGTGCCAGCCCACAGCATGGCTTAGATTAGCTTACTTGGCCCTCACACACCCCACGAGGGCTCAGCTTCCTCCCTGAGAGAGAAGACAGAGCAAGCTGAGGAGAAGAAGACTAGTCCTGCCTCAGGAGGCCAGTGTCTGCCTTACAGGGCCAGGGTTCCACGGCAGACACATGGTGGAGAAGGCCCCAGCGACAGTTCCTGGCGAGTTTCTTTTAAGAATGGGAGCTTAAAGGGGAGAGTCGGTTCAGAATCCCTGATAAAGCCAGCAGATGACCAAACATCTTCCTCCCGTTTTGCAGATGGACTCAGTAGACTTGAGCTTCATAAAGCAGTGTTTGCTTCCAAAAGATGGAAGGATACGAGCAGCTTTCAGCATCCCTTTCAATGTATCTCCTCAGAGTGCTCCAGGAGACAGTGTCAGACTGTCCTCGACACTGGCAGAGGCCTGCTTGAGAACAGCTCAGGACCTTGTCCACCAGCCATGCATAAACCGATACCAAAGACATCAAGTAGGCCTCAAAACACAGCTCCAGTATATTCCTTCCGGCTGTTTCCCGGCCAGGCCTTCCTTGCCTGGGCGTTCCCACAGGGGACTTCCCTTCTTCCTCTTCCTGGTTCTTACATCCCTGAAGTAGAGACAGTTCACTCAGTTCCAGTTTGGGAAGTAGCTGGCAGAAGCCACAGGGACTACGGCACATAACTTATGCTGCTTTTTCTGCAGAGCAACAATTGCCAATTTGCAGGAAAAGATTACAAGGGCCCTAGGGTCAGATCCAGTCTCAGGGCAGACAGAACCCTTGCTCCTATAGCCTCACATCCCACAATAATTTTGCTACATGGGGGATTCGGGGTGACAATGTAAGTTGTGGGCAGCTATGTCCAGGACTTTCAGTAGCTACAGAAAGCTTGATTCTAGTTAGCCACACAAAGTCATGTGAGGCATCCCACATCTTTCTCGGGATCTTCAGAGGCCAGCGAGAGGTAAGGAAGGCTCAGTGGTGAGAGCTCACTGCTAGAGACATGCTTTACCAAGCAGCCCCTTAAGTATGAGGAGTGGGCACACTTCCTTGGTCCCCTTGGTGTGAGGTCCTCCAGCAGTTTAGCTAAAGAACAAGTCAGGGTGCAAGCGAACAAAGCCCTGAGCCCAGAACAGACCAGTGTTTGTTTCACAGAGAGCTGTTCCTATTTCTGGACACGGGTACCCTAACAGCCATCACCGACTCCAGTACAAGGAAGCACTGGCTGACCATGAGGGCTGGGGACCAGCATTCCCAACCCTCTGCTGCCTGGGAGGTGACACCGCAGGATAGTGGCCCTCCACAGCCCACCTCGGTCCACTCCAGATTGCCCCAGACAAAGAGGCATGCCCGGCAGCTTTCTGAAAGCCCTCTGTTGTAAGCCTAAACCAGGGGCACACAGAGAGGGAGAGTGGACTTCCTGATGCCACCCATGAAAGGCAAGGGTGGGGACTCCTGAAAACTGCTCAGGAACACCTTAGTCCAACACTTGCTGGATTCCTCACTGAGCATGCACACACTCACACACACCCATTTGATATTGCCAAGATCTGCTCCACCCGAAATGCCTACCTTTAACATCCTAGCCCTTAGCTCTCCTCCTGTGTATCCACACTGTGAGTAGCCCCTTTTCCTGGGGCTCTACACCTGTGTGGGGAGCAAGAACCTACCTCAACACTCTCCGTTGCCTGAATCCAAGTTAAGCGCTGTCTCCCTCCTGGCCTAGTCACGGCTCCCCAGGGCTCCTCTAGGACATTCTTAGTTTTTTCCCTCTGCTCTCATCTCCAGGCCCTACGTGGACCTCGTGAATCTGCTGCTAACCTGCGGGGAAGAGGTGAAGGAGGCGGTCACCCGTAGTGTCCAGGCTCAGTGTGAACAGAACTGGGGAGGCCTGTGCTCCATCCTGAGCTTCTGCACCTCCAACATACAGAGACCGCCCACCACAGCCCCTGAGCACCAGCCCCTGGCCGACGGGGCCCAGCTCTCCAGGCCTCACCACCGGAATGCGGGCTACCACCTAACAGAAGCCAGCAGAGGTGCCAAAGGTGAGCGAGGGAGCAGAAGTCACCCAAATGCGCACGCGCGAGGCGGCGCCAGTGGCCAGAGCGCTCAGGGACCGTCCGGAAGCAGCGAGTGGGAAGACGAACAGTCGGAGTATTCCGACATCCGGAGGTGAAATGAAAACCCGGCCACGAAAGCTTTCCTCCAGGCCGTCCATTTTCTTATCTATGGACATTCCAAAACATTTACATTAAAGAGGGGGGATGTCACACGCAGGATGTATGCGAATTGTGGACTTCGTGCAGGTGTATGAACAGGTGAGATGGAGAGTCCAGGGCAGCAGGGCCTCCGGTGCCTGGTGGATTGGCGCTCGTGTGTAAGCTTATCAGAAGGAGTGGTGCCTTGAGTCGGCCTTGTAACTTTGTCTCTTGCAGTCCGTGGAGCTAGTGGGTGGCTAAGGCGTGCTCTGTTGTGGGGGAGGGGGGTCAGATGGGGAAGAGAGGGGCCACACATGGGTGCTAGGTCCTCCCCCACCGTTTCCAATGCCGTCTGCAGGGGCCGGGGCAGCTGGGTTCCGGCAGGAGTGAGTGGGAAGTGTGGCGGAAAAGGCAGAGGAACAGCCATCCAAGAGGATGAAGGGCTTACCATTGCTCAGTCAGTGCCAAACCGAAAGTTTAGAGTTGTGTGCGTGGGACCTTTTGTTTCACAGCTGCTGGGAGGGACATGGGGTAGCACATTTTCTGTGTGTCATTTCTGAGCCATTGTTCTGTCTGGGGGACACTGAAGGAGTGGCCCCTGCCTGTTTATTTTGACCACTGTTTCGGATCTCAATTTTGCTTTTTTTTTTTTTTTTAAATCTATTGACATCTACATGTGTGTCACCTAAATAAATGGCTTTCAAACCAAACAACTGGGTCACAAAACCAGCTCAGAGGAGGAAGCAAACCAATCCCACCCCACCCCATCTCTGGAGGGTAAATTTTTGTGAGTTCTGTTTTTAAAAAGAGGAGCTCAAACAGCACTGTGCCCATGTGGGCTACTGCCCCCTGAAACAGACTGATAGCTAGAAGGAGGGAAGGAAAAAAGGCACATACCGGGAGTCCTTCCCTTAGACAGCCTTTCCCTAGAGTTTTGCTCTCTCAACTTGACCTCAGCCAAGGTCCATGAGCCTGTATATTGAATCCGTGTGGCCAAGTTGAAATCAGCCTCTGCGTGCTGGAAAGAGAGAGAGGCCTCAAGATCGCTAGGGGAATGTCACCCTCCGCATACTTGGGCCGAATAGCTTAATCGCTAAGAGACAGGGCTTTCCACGGCCAAAGTAGAAATTTAGCAACAAGGAGAGAAGGGGGGGGGGCAAAAGAAAGGCCAAAGGGGAGAGAAAGAAGCGACTACAACAGCTCAGCGCTCGCATCTCCTCTCTCTGTGCCTGTCATGGTTATTCCTCTTGTAGCCAGAACTCACGGGAGCCAGGGTTCCAGGATGGGAGGGTATCCTGGGCCAGGTCGCCTAGAGCAAGGCTTCGCCAACTTTTTCTATGAAGGGCCAAATAGTAATTAGAGAGTTTCAGTTCGGCAAGCCACATGGTTTCTGTTGCCGCTAGCCAGCTCTGCCATCACAGCACAAAAGCACCCTCCACCACACAAATGGGAGGGCTTGGCTCCGTTCCACTATGATTTTCCTCAACAGGCACCCAGCTGGACTTGGCTCACAGGCCGTACATAGCATACTCCCCGTTTTAGGGAGCTGGATGAAAAGCATGCATTCTGCCTTGCCCAGCTACTCTAGTTCTCCCTGGAAAGCCCCTGAGGCCAGAGACAGCCACGTTTCTCCAAACACATCCCCAAACTCAGCTGGTGTCTCCACATGCAGGATCCAATCTTGATCTCTCATAGGCTTTGCTTAAAAAATAAAAAAATAAATTCATCTGGGGAGGGGTGGGTTGGTGACGTCCTGGGAAACCCCCAGAAAAGTGTGGGACTGCAGAGAGCAGAGGAGTGTGTGCATTTCATCCAGTTCTGCCCGGAAGGAAGGAGGCCCAGCATGCCAGGCTCTGCCACGGGAAATGAATGTAGATTATGGCGCTCCCATGCCATGTGCCTGCGTGGCACCTTGACTGTTTCTGCTTACATCACTCACAAACATTCTCCTTCATTCCTGGCTCGGCTGCTCATTTGTCCCCAGCTTCTGGGCTGGGTTTGTCAGTGTCTTGTGTTCACCTACTGTTGTTGTTCCTACTGTAAATATTTGTCGTTTGTATTTATTATCTCAGTGTTTTCCCCCCAAAGGCATAAAATCACTTCCTATGTTCATTTGAACCCACCGGCTGATCTCTGTTGTGTATTTTCCATGCCTCAGTGCTCCCTTCCCCTTCTAAAAGTAATATATATATATATATATATATATATATATATATATATATATATATATATATATATAATTTCATGGTTCCTTGTGTGATTAGAAACATAGAATTTATCTCTCGGGTCCTTTTGCTCAAGCCTATCTAAATTCTTATGCGCCTGATGGAGGCATTTGCACAGTCTAAAATGTAAGCAAGGCAGCTGTTGGAAATAGCTCCTCCTTAGGCTTCATGCTTCATACACATTTACTCAGGAGCCTTCCTGTGAGGAAGGATGTGAACCTCCAAATAAAGATGCAGTGTTTATTTTGAGCTTCAAATCTTAACAAGATGATCTGAACACCTCTCCTTTGTGTCAGTAAATAGCCCTGTTATTCTAAAACGAGAGGGCCAGAGACAGAACTCTGACAACCCAAAACCGAATAAATCGGCAACACCAGCCCACTCATCCTTACACACATGCACACACTGAAACTCTGAACCTGGCAAGTGGCATCTCTGAAACAACATGGGAACAGTGTTTCCGGCACCCGCTTTCTAAGGAAGGATAGTATCATGTGGGCCTACTAAGTCACTGTCTGCTTCTCTTCTCTTACAGAGTTAGGCGACAGGGCCTGGGCACTGTCACACTGTGTTTTCCCTCAAGGACTAATAAAGGTTTAAATAAGTGACCTGCACTTGAGCAGTGATGTTCCTGGGTAGCTTTGATGTGATGTGTAAAGGGAGTTGACTGACTGGGAGGGTTGCTGACATTGCTTATACTCCACACTTGTGGGAGGGGAGCCAGGTAAAGAAGCCCCAGCCTACCTCTCAGGACTTCCTCATCCCAGGGACCCTGGCCAAGGCTCCCCGGGAGCCACCAAGACAGAAGAGGAAAAGGAATTCTCTGCCACCTGCCTGGAAATACCACCCTCATCCCAACCAGCTCTGAAAGCCCCTCACCCTCCTGTCACCTTTGGTGTCACACCTTCTTCAGACTGCTGCTGCAGCCCCTGCCATCATCAGCTTAATCACTCAGTGGCTTAGGACCTGCAGGGTGGCTCCATGGCTCTTTCACAGCTCTTGGTTACCACTGCGAAGCAAAGCTGGAGCTGTTCCTCACTACAGCTTGCATGGCCATGGTGCCCACAGTGTATGCTGGACATCCTGGTGGACATCAAGCAAGTGTTATCCCATGCTGAGTCCCGCAGTCCCCATTACTGTTGCCCAGCTGGGCCAGCGAATCCTCTCAGCAAGTAAAAGGCTCTTGCTGTCAAGCCTGATGTCCTGAGTTCACTCCCCCAGGACCCTCCTGGTGGAAGGAGAGAACCAGCTCCTAAAAGTTGTCCTCTGACCTCCATAAGTGCACTGTGACTTGGTACAATACACACATAGATATAAATGAATGGATGAATAAGTAAGCAATCAAAAGAATAAATAAATAAGCTTCCTATTTTGCACGAGGCCTGGGAAAAGAATAAATACGCTCTGGTATTTATAATACCTGGCCTCGGAGGAATTCTGCTGCAGAGCAGAGAAGAAAATGGATGCTCTAGCCTCTGCTTCCACAGAGACTGGAGGGTTGGGTGACACAGAAGGACCTGGGGAAGGCCTGCCACCCACTGTGGATGACTTTGTAAATGTTTTGCCCTCAGGCCGTTGGGAAAAGCACCTGGGAAGCAGCTGTCTGGTGTGAATACACAATGGGCACTCCTTAGTCACACTCACCCCAAGGCCAGCCCTGTCTGAGGATCCAGGCTCCCCTTACTGCTCTCCCCAGTCATCATTAGCGCAACAGCTGCCAAGTCTTGAGGGCCAGTGGTGTGCCCCTGTTTCTGCTGGAGCTTAGCAGATGTCATTTCCAAACCCCGATTTACAGCTAAAGAAACTGAGGCCCGAAGGCATCTTACTGTGTGCCCAGTCTCAGTGACGATGCCACTCAGCTCTTGAGGTGAAATGCAGCTGCCTTGTGACTCCATCTGACCCCTCTCTTATCCCAGGTCCGAGCACATAGGTTTAAGGCACACAAATGAATTCAGACATGCAGCTGCCTCCCCAACTCTCATGGCTGGATTATTAGGCTCGGGGAAAAAGAAAGCAGAAGGGCCTCAAATATGCTGGGTCTAAACAAAGTTTCCCAAGGGATATGGAGACACACCCCAAAATCTGGAGAAAGAAATCTGAATTTGTGCTGAAGTCAACAACAACAACCAAAAAAAGAGAAAGTCCCCTGCTGAGGAGGGGACAAGGCTTGGCCAGAGAACAGCGTTTATGTGAATTATTTTTTGTGAGTGGAGAAGAGAGGGAAGCAGCTTTGGACCGGAGTCCCACGTTGCTGCTTGCATAAGCAGTTCGGTTTTATCATTCCTCAAAAAGAAAAAAAAAAAAAAAACTCCCCAAAGAGAAGAAAAGTCACATAGCCAACTTGAATACATGAATACATGCCTGAAATAGATGCCAGCACAGTGTACCCTGTCACTTGACAGGACCCAGACTACATTGGCTCCGTTGGGTCTACACACAGCCATCACTGAAAATCAGATGTGCCCGGATGAGCTGTGATGTGGTGGAAACAAGAAAAGTTCCTCCAGAAAACTCTCGGGGGAAGGCAGCTTCTGAACAGGTGGTAAGCAGATTCCTCAGTGGGTCCTCTTCCTAACACACAGGGTCCAGAAATTGTTACGGAGTGGGGGGAGGGGCGTGCAAAAAGGAAGAGCTATCCTTTCCATCCTCCGCCTCAGTCCTTGCAGCCGCCACGATGTTGATGCCTAAGAAGAGCCGGATTGCCATCTACGAACTCCTTTTCAAGGAGGGAGTGATGGTTGCCAAGAAAGATGCCCATATGCCCAAACACCCGGAGCTGGCAGACAAGAATGTGCCCAACCTTCACGTAATGAAGGCCATGCAGTCTCTCAAGTCCCGGGGCTACGTAAAGGAGCAGTTTGCCTGGAGACATTTCTACTGGTACCTTACGAACGAGGGCATCTGGTATCTCCAAGATTAGCTACCCCTACCCCCTGAGACCGTGCCCGCCACTCTGCGCCACAGCCGTCCTGACACTGGCAGGCCTCGGTCCAAAGGCCCAGAGGGTGAGAGACTGCAAGCTTCACAAGAGGGGAGGCAGACAGAGACACCGACAGGTAGGAGTGCTGTGCCCCCTGGTGCTGACGAGAAAGCGGAGGCTGGGGCTGGCTCAGCAACGGAATTCTAGTTTAGAGGCGGCTTTGGTCATGGCCGTGGTCATCCACCTCAGTGAAGATGGAGATTGTGTTGTGTTGAATAAACTTTAAAGAAAAAGAAGAGGAGGAGGAGGAGGAGGAGGAGGAGGAGGAGGA